TTACTGCGATCGTGTAGGCTCGGCTACTGTCATATTGCTGACGATCGGGTAGGCTGGGCTGCTGTCGTGTTGCTGATGATCGGGTAGGCTGGGCTGCTGTCTTGTTACTGTGATCGGTTAGGCTCGGCTACTGTCATATTGCTGACGATCGGGTAGGCAGGGCTGCTGTCTTGTTACTGCTATCGGGTAGGCTGGGCTGCTGTCGTGTTGCTGATGATCGGGTAGGCTGGGCTGCTGTCTTGTTACTGCGATCGGGTAGGCTCGGCTACTGTCATATTGCTGACGATCGGGTAGGCTCGGCTACTGTCATATTGCTGACGATCGGGTAGGCTCGGCTACTGCCATATTGCTGACGATCGGGTAGGCTGGGCTGCTGTCGTGTTGCTGATGATCGGGTAGGCTCGGCAGCTGTCTTGTTACTGCGATCGGGTGGGCTGGGCTACTGTCATATTGCTGACGATCGGGTAGGCAGGGCTGCTGTCGTGTTGCTGACGATCGGGTAGGCTGGGCTGCTGTCTTGTTGCTGACTATTGGGTAGGCTCGGCTGCTGTCTTGTTACTGCGATCGGGTAGGCTGGGCTATTGTCATATTGCTGACGATCGGGTAGGCTGGGCTGCTGTCTTCACTCTAAATCTATGTATTCTAATATAGAACTCTGGACGCGTCCATACGTTCTGCCACAGAATACGAATGTTCTTATTCGGGGAGCACATGTTCTATTGCTGAACGCCTGTGATCTGTTGTAGAACGCGTGTGTTCTCACCTGGGAGAAGTACTGAATATTGTTAGACAAATTTAAATTCGACAATATATTTGTGTTTTCGGAATATTTATTTTTGAGAAGAAGAGAGGCTGGTAGATTGGTAAGTCAAACAGAAAATTTGTCATATTTTGAGTTTGATGAATGATAAATAGTTTATAAACATGGCATACTTTGTGTTAATACCAACTCATATGTAGCCTGACTAAATACAACAAAAAACATTACTGAAATACAACTCATTGCTAATACCTGGAAATAACTTACTTGCATTATGGGACATTTACGTGTATCAGAACACTGGCATTCTGATGGCTAATTTTACCTGGATATTTTATGGGGGCTATGGAACATATACGGTCTATTTGCTGAACACATGCGTTCTCTCCTAGAACGCATGTGTTCTGCTATGTTCTATAGTGATAAGCAGCACACTAATGTTACAGGCGAGAACACGTGTTCCATTCATAGAACATAGGGGTTCTATTTTTCTAACTAGCATTCGAAGCTGCCCATGTCCTGTGAACCACATCCGTTATATGAAACTGACGTGACGTAGCATTTATTTGGCGCTACAATTTCCTATCATCTGAGGGGTATCTGTGGTAAGTATCCATCTAGGAATAATTTTGTTTCATATTTAATCCTTACCTAAAATTGTGTAATATTTCGGCGATATATTCATATGCTGATTGCATGCGAAGTAAAACCGGCCCCTTATGAAACTCACAGCAGACGACATATTCCCCGCCATTTTGACCGTCATTTCTGCCATTGTTCCACAAGCATTATTCGCAAATTGTGAGATGAAATCCCAATCCAAACTGCACTTGTGACATTTTGAAAGTTTCCGTTTATTTGAATGATGTTCAAATAAAATGAATATATATTTCAGGTTCTATATGAATCGCCTGAAAGTGCGAAGCGGGCTACATGCAACAACTCTCTGAACATCTAAATTTGGGATCCGAGGGCATGATCAGCATGCATCGACAATGCATCGAAATCAGCAGAGAGTAGGGTAAGTATGTAATGAACAAAAAGAACTAAACCTTGACAGGACATGATTTGGGCTATTTTATGTGAAATATTTTCAAAGAGTCTTGTTGTTTCTATTACAGGGTGCATTGCAGATAATCATTACCATCCTTGGAAATTATTGCACACAGCACACGTCTACGCAAAGGAGGAAAAGAAACAAGGTTTTGCAGATCAAATAAGAAGGTACTTGTGTATATTTTCCTCTAGTCTTTATCCAAGTAAGTGATAACTTTGTTAGTCAAATAACATTTTGAGCAAAACATTTTGCAACCTATAACTAATGAAACAAATGTCACGGTAATCTTGCGTTTACTAACGAACATTTGTTAAAATAATGCCTTATGTAATATGTACGAGTTTGATAAATATATGACTATGACAAAATAAATGTTTGGTGTTGTATGATGTTGCGGAGTCGTATTTGACATGAAGTTTCCTGAAGCATGCGATGGTCATGTCGCTGTTACGAACATCGTCCTTGGGGATATTTACCCACAAGAAACATCTGCGAAGTACTTGCGCTTCGTGAAAGACTTGAAACTTAAGCTATCTTAGGTATGGAAGTATGCTTCAATTTGCTACATGACAGTTTGTAATGTTCCATGAAGAACTCTGACTCTCATATTTTAAGTGACTTGAATATCCATGATCATGACAAATAAATGTAATAAAGAATTCATGGTTGTAGTTCAGAATTTCGTCCGTGTGATTTTATGCCAGAGAATATGTATGGGTGTATGGTTCATATTCTTACGCCTTGAAAAATCATCGGGTAAATTGTATTCGACAACACACGATGAGTTGTCATTTCAGTACTGTGGAAGTACGTGTCCGAGAACGTGTAGAGTTCTGAATCTCGGTCCAGAACACTTTACAGGCGTTCTAAAAGTGTTACATCGTCAGAACACGTTGAAGCGTTCTAAATATGTTTGTAGAACACTCCTGTTCTAGGTCGAGAACATCAACGTTCAGAATATTTTCAGAACACATGGACGCGTTCTAAAAGAGTTACATCCATGTGTTCTGTCTAGTGTTCAGAAGTAGAACACTTGGGTTTAGAGCGTTGTTACTGCTATCGGGTAGGCTGGGCTGCTGTCTTGTTACTGCGATCGGGTAGGCAGGGCTGGTGTCATGTTGCTGACGATCGGGTAGGCTGGGCTGCTGTCTTGTTACTGCGATCGGGTAGGCCTGGCTACTGTCATATTGCTGACGATTGGGCTGCTGTCTTGTTACTGCTATCGGGTAGGCTGGGCTGCTGACTTGTTACTGCGATCGGGTAGGCTGGGCTACTGTCATATTGCTGACGATCGGGTAGGCTGGGCTGCTGTCTTGTTACTGCTATCGGGTAGGCTGGGCTACTGTCATATTGCTGACGATCGGGTAGGCTGGGCTGCTGTCTTGTTACTGCTATCGGGTAGGCTGGGCTACTGTCATATTGCTGACGATCGGGTAGGCTGGGCTGCTGTCTTGTAACTGCTATCGGGTAGGCTGGGCTACTGTCATATTGCTGACGATCGGGTAGGCTGGGCTGCTGTCTTGTTACAGCGATCGGGTAGGCTGGGCTACTGTCATATTGCTGACGGTCGGGTAGGCTGGGCTGCTGTCTCGTTACTGCGATCGGGTAGGCTGGGCTGCTGTGTGTCTTCATCTTCGTTTTTCCGCCATCTTTTAGAGGGGATAACAGACAGGAAATAGAATGTCTACGTACTCTTGAAACTTATTGAAACAATTAGGTATGTTAGATAAATGAAGTTTTAAAGTTGAAAAGTATTGAATAACACTTTCATTGACATTGTCAAATGCGCGTGTAATCTGAGCTCAACTATTGTGGTGTTGATGACGTCATGTCATACAGCTGATCCATGTCGTAGTATAATATTATTCTCTTTGACTGAACTAGAACGCAGTTCATCTCGATTATGACAACGTTGTACATCATATCACGGGGGTTCAGCTGCATGTACAGCTACACACCCAGATATTTTGTGATTCACGACTAGACCTATATGAGCCTGACTTGTTTTGAAGAGAAACACCTCACAACAATGTGATTTTTGTGGCAGGATTTTTTTTGTCAACGGTCTGAAGCATAATTATTGTTTTATATAAGATCCCCTATTTTCGTCACATATACAAGTATTAATTTCGAACGGTTCAATAACATAAATAGTAATATTAGTTACACACTATATAAATAACACTGATTTCTGATTGGCATAATGTGTTCATTGTAAGTGGCATGTCGTTTTGATGTAAAAAGTATTCAGTATGAAACAGTCTGCATATGAAAAAATAAGTAACACTTCTAGGGATTTACTTTTGACGTAAAAACACTAAAAATCAGCCATGTCTCAATGAATGTATACTTTGACAAAAATGTGATATGTCTATCTTCGTAATGTTCATCTAGATTTCAACATAGGGCGCTCTCTTTAAACTTTCAGGTCCTTCCCGATTACGATTAATGTAGAATAGTAGCAAACTTAGTAGAATACCAGCACTTTGTTTTAGATTTCCAGTTTTTAAAACACAAAATCAGAAAATTGCGTCAACGTAAAAAGGACGTCAACAGTTTGTGAACGGGCCAGACACTTTGAGGGGAGGCCACTATCGTATGACAATAGTTCCGTGAAAGTGTTATCTTCGCTGCAATTAAAATATCACTTTTCTCAACTTCGGAAAGCACAGTCTTTCACACTTAAGTATATAATAACTATTTGCCCACGCATGTTTCGTTTTAATATGCTTCAATCCATTTTTGTTATTCCCCACTCCCTACCAATAACGTTGGCAGTACTTGGCATGCGTGCCTCACCTGTTTTCTTATTAGTTGTCAGCAGATTTCATCCCAGTATAATTAATGAAAGGATATGTTTACGCTATGGTTTATTAGATGCTGGTTAAAACATAAGATTGCATAGCTTAACACAGTTGTGGTCAACAGTACATGCCTAGTGAACCAATCATCACAACTAGAACAATGTAATCTAATATACAGAACAATGCCTAGATCTAATCATATATTTTCTTTCTTATATAAAATACGAGTTTCATGATTGGTTTTGACTGTTAGCACTTGGATGTAGTACATGTAATACACAAGAAACCAAACAATTAACAATTTCGCTGGATCGTTTTAACAAATGATTTATTTTTCACCAGAAAACTTAGGGCGTTTTGACCAAATTGCCTCGTCCGTTTAGCGCAGGTCCGTTTTCACTTGCACCCGAGTTGGTACGATACATGTTTACATTCGCAACCGCAACGATGTCAGAGAGTGGAAACTCAAGAGTGAATTTGGTAAAGTATTTGATTATTTAATTTTCACGTGTGGTGTAGAATTCGGAATTATTGTGTGTATGTGTGTGGTTCTCAATCTCTAACAGCGCCCTGAGGCAAATCAGTAATTAGGATATAGATCTGGATCTAGGTGGTGCCAAAACAAATGTGTACCCAAGTGATTTTTTACCCAAAGACTATATTGTACTGAAGAAAAGAAAATACTATATATTTCAGCATATCATTATATTTATAGTATTGCATGTATGTTGTATGTTTCGTACGCAACGAAAATGGCGAGGCTATCTCGTACGGGATACTTCAAATTCTCGTCAGATTCTTTCTTGTCACCCAATCTCACTCTATGTGCAGTCACGTACAAGCACTAAGCACAATATAAACACAAAGCTGAACACTTTTCCCACATAGGGCTAAGCCTAGTAGCTGAATCGCAGGTCCTTTTATTCCTGCAACCTCCCTGATAAGCTGGCTTGTGGTCAGATCTTCAGATTCACATATCTTTGACAGTTTCGAAGTTGGCCTAGAGTCTAGATATACTTGTCACAACCTCCTTTGTGTCCCTGTTTTGTCGTTCGTCCAGTTGGCCAACAAACTTTTGCTGGCGGAATAGGCCTAGGCCTACTCGTGGAACAGCCATGTAGGGATACAACAACAGATCTCAAGGCGCATGCAAATTTCAATTCTTGCACTCAGATTACTGGTTGTTTTGAGGTTTATTTGAAATGCGGGAACGGTATGTCAGTCTTCCTCAAAGGAAGGTAATTCTTTTATGGGCCCCTTTTCCTTGAGATTTCTGTGATTGCCTTCAAATTACAAGGTGCATTCACATCACAAGGCAAGGGAGGTAACCCATGGTGTACTTTCAAAATGGAGGCAGTATTTGAGCGCTAGAAAACTTTCAGACACAAATGCAATAACCTTAAAAAGTACAAAAATGGAAAGATGTCCACATTCATCTCTAATGTTATGTCTTGTGTAAGAACTTCTCATGTTCACAATCTATCGTCTCATAGACGTGAGAGCTAGCTCATCACATTCTGGGCATTTCCAACATTCTCTCCTGTGCCCAATCTCGCCTCAGTCAGTCAGCCCCCATGGAGTGGCAGTTGCACCCAGATGTTTTCCAGACGATGTGCCAGACCTTTGGCCACTTGTTTGCCACATGTTACAACCACCAGCTTCAGAAGTATGCATCACCGTTACCAGACGCTCTGGATTGGATCCGTCTAGAGCTTCCTATCCACATGAAATTCAGGCATGGATGTCCGCAATAGCACAACACACAAACAGCTTTTGATGAACCAACTCTTTCCAACTTTTCCCATCTTGTACCTCCGAGATCTGTCTGTTCGGGATGTCGAGGGAGTCCACCAGCTGGGTCCTCTTGTCTTCACTCAGCAACTCGTCATTCTGGACGCCCATATCGGTACGCCTGCATGTTTGTTCTTTCTTTCTACAGAATGATTGCATTACACTCTGTAAGATCCTACCTTTCAAGAACCTCCAGTTGCAACATAATTTCAGACCAAGCCTTACCTGTAACCAGGTCCTGGGCAGAACTCTGTAACTTACAATCTGTACAGTACGGTGGCATGACTTCACACTGTTACACCTTCCGCAAGCTCTTGGCATCCAAATGGAAATTGTAACACCCCTGACGCTGTCTTTTGTAGAGCTCTAGATTGCCCTTGTGAGAATATTTCACAGTGGTTTGGTCTTTTACGAATGGTGTACCCCTTCTTAAACCATCCCTACATTGGCCATCTCTGTACTACTTGTCCATACATTCCTGCTACATTCTCACAAAAATGTCTCTAATGTATTGATAGGTGTACCGTCTGAATAGAGACTCCCTCTTCAATCAATTCATCCAATATTCTTAAGTTAGCTGAACATCTTAATTTTGTGAACCATTCAGGCGATTCATCCAAATATAGCCAACACTACTATCAATAGCTGGCATTGCAATCAAGTTGTCTCAAAACGGGCGATGCTTGTCAAGAGCGATGTCGCATGTGCCGCCTTGCCATTCTTGTTTGTGGGACTTCAGACTTTCAATGGCTTCACACATCCTTCTCCTTGCTCCATCATGCTTCTCCTTGCTCCATCATGCTTCTCGTTGCTCCATCATGCTTCTTATTGCTCCATCATGCTTCTTGATGCTCCATCATGCTTCTTATTGCTCCATCATGCTTCTTGATGCTCCATCATGCTTCTTATTGCTCCATCATGCTTCTTGTTGCTCCATCATGCTTCTTATTGCTCCATCATGCTTCTCGTTGCTCCATCATGCTTCTCGTTGGTCCATCATGCTTCTTGATGCTCCATCATGCTTCTTATTGCTCCATCATGCTTCTTGATGCTCCATCATGCTTCTTGTTGCTCCATCATGCTTTTTATTGCTCCATCATGCTTCTCGTTGCTCCATCATGCTTCTTGTTGCTCCATCATGCTTCTTATTGCTCCATCATGCTTCTCGTTGCTCTATCATGCTTCTTGTTGCTCCATCATGCTTCTTGTTGCTCCATCATGCTTCTTGTTGCTCCATCATGCTTCTCGTTGCTCCATCATGCTTCTTGTTGCTCCATCATGCTTCTCGTTGCTCTATCATGCTTCTTGTTGCTCCATCATGCTTCTTGTTGCTCCATCATGCTTCTCGATGCTCCATCATGCTTCTCGTTGCTCCATCATGCTTCTTGTTGCTCCATCATGCTTCTTGATGCTCCATCATGCTTCTCGTTGCTCCATCATGCTTCTCGTTGCTCCATCATGCTTCTTGTTGCTCCATCATGCTTCTTGTTGCTCCATCATGCTTCTCGTTGCTCCATCATGCTTCTTGATGCTCCATCATGCTTCTCGTTGCTCCATCATGCTTCTTGTTGCTCCATCATGCTTCTTGTTGCTCCATCATGCTTCTTGTTGCTCCATCATGCTTCTTGTTGCTCCATCATGCTTCTCGTTCCCCAATCACTTCGGCAAATTACTTAATGACAATGATTTTGCTTAACAATATATATAGACAATACTACTGAGGTAGTGCTCACTCAAGAACAAGTGATGCCTGGAAGGGAGGTAACTCGGTGCCCAAAAGGGAAATAATTCCAAACTCTTAAGCTGCAATTTGTTCCACTAAATCTGAATTTATCTGAACAAGTCACATACTACACTGTAGGGGAAGGAGGTCAGCTTCTCTCTTTAGTATATATATATATATATATATATTAGTGTCATGTTGACATATAGTCACAGTTAACTCAAATATCACTTTGACACAAGGTCTCTGAGACATGATGGTTGCTGCTTCACTCTGGTTGAAGGACAAAGCATGGGCGCTACAGGCTACACTTGAGATATCCCCTGAGATACTCTAATCATGGGAATCTGCTTGTCATGTGTTAGGTAATGCTGATTTATACTCCTCCCTTGGTGAAGACTGCGATTCTAGCGGAGTATCTGAACGTTCAGTCTTGTCACTTTGCAGTGCAGATATAGACATCCTGCTTCGGACATGATCCACATGCCTTCTAACCAATTTACCGAACTTGATGTTTGATGATTGAACGGTTACACTGTCGACTTGTCCACTAATCCATTTCTTGCCTGAAGCAAAGTTTTAACCCACAACAATTCATTCACTTGACATGTCCTACATTTCGGTAGAAGCTGACTAATCCACAAGTTTTCTGTGGCTTTTTTTCCCCTAAGACGTCAGGTTTGAAAATCAAGACCAATCGCGAAAGCAATGTGTGTCTGTGAAACAAAGTTGAAGGCGTAACACTGGTGTAAATTGATAAGAAAACAGTAACCTGTGTAGTTAAGTAGCCAGCGTGTTACCTGTTGTCTACTTTAATCCATCTTTAGGGCTCCAAGCCGAAAGGCTGTAGAGCCCTATTGTAATCGTTCGATTTATTATTATTTATTATTATTATTATTATTATTATTATTATTATTATTTATTATTCCGCCGTTTTTTGTTCCAGAGATAGCAGTTTAACCACTGGCTCGATTTTGTTCAAATTTTGTGTGTGTGTGCAGGGTGTTAGGTACCAAATACCACAAAAATTCCAAGGCCGTAGGCCCAATGGCCAAGGGCAGATAACTGAAAAACAAGTATTTTTTGAAGATATATTTCGCCTTATTGCTCCGCAACCGCTTGTCCGATTACTTTCAAACTTTACACATGTCTGCTGTTTAGGGTGCTTAACATTTTCTGTTCTTTGATCTTGGCCACTGGTCACGTGGTTTGGCAGCCATATTGGATTCAACGTTTTTACGGGGTTTTGGGGGTACCTGTCTTCAAATCCTATCTCCTCTGAATCCAATGCATGAAATGCATCCAAACTTTCCGAGTACTGTCTCCATACATATCACATCAAACTCTGTTAGCCGATTTTGGATATCTTTTTTAGTTGCTGCCATATTGGATTCAAGGTTTTCACAGGGTTTTTTGGGTACCTGTTTTCAAATACTATCTCCTCTGAATCCACTGCATGAAATGCTTTCAAACTTTCTGAGAATTGTCTCCACACATAACACACCAAACTCTGTTAGCCGTTTTTGGATATCTGTCTCAGTGACGGCTCTGTTTGATTTTGATTTTGATGATTTCTTTCACCGAATTTTTCCTTTATATAAAGATCACATCTTGTAAGGTTCTCCACAGAAACTATTGAAAGTTTACATGAAGTTAGTCGGACACATGTAGCTCATCTTTTGTTCTTGGCTGCATGCTAAAAGTAACACCGCTTGGTGGTAATATGGACAAAATACCGAATACATCGCTCAGAAAACCTAGGGTTACTTCCCTTTGACCGTCAAGTGTCTTTTGCAGTATGTATGCTGCCCTTGAAGATGAGGGTTAGAATTGGTCTTCAGCAACCCATGCTTGTCTTTAGAGGCGATTATCGAGATTCGAACATTGTCTGGGTGGTAAATGGGTTTAGAACATTCTGGTTGACTCTGGCACACGCCAATTTTGTAGCGGTGATGTCCTGCAAACG